GGTACTTTAGTATGTAAGTAGCATTTAAATGTTGTAGTGAATTGATTGAATTATTATATACAGGTTGGTTCTTTAAACTGTATAACATTGCATCATAATCCTTCCATCCTTCTATCCTTCGTTCCAAACCATTGAAAGTGTTAGTCTAAATAACCTAAATACGTTCTTTAGAGGTTAAAAGTTGAAGCTGAAGACATTCTTACCAAGTTGAAGCAGTTTCCTCACATAACTCAGATGCTGATTGGAGCAGGCAACGTGGAGAGGGAACCCTGATTGGTCGATAAACTGATCCACATCTGCACCGTGCTGAACAAGAGGCTCGATGCACTCTATGTGACCTAGACAGAGTTACCAGAATCATCACAATGAGAAGTGATGTACAGACAGGGATGTGCTTTGAAATGTGCCTTCGCTTGGTATCAAGGGAAAGATATGCTGTTGTTTTACTTTGTAGCCTAAAACAACACATATTTTCTGTTTTGATGAGTTATACATATTTTCTGATGTGTTGCCACCCTTTGTGCATTATGTAGTGACTGATTAAGCTGGTTCAGATTATCCGTTCATATGCAGTGGAACTTGACCTCTGACCTTTGGCCGCAGCCCTGTGGATTGGAGAGCTGGTCAGGCTGGTCCCCAGAGGACTGGCTCCGTGCTGAAGGAGCAGGGTTACGCAGGTCACATGACCCCGAGCGCAGGCTTCTGATAGGGGAGTCTGTCCATCCACTGTTGAACCATTAACCTGACAGGGGGGAGGATAGTTTTGAGACGATTTACCAAAATTCAAGACCAAAAGGTTGTTTAGCAAGTGTAAAGATTTACGTTTTTAAGTTATAAACCTTATATAGCCTCGATTATATGTATACCATATTCACTGAGGGTCTGCCTTTAAACATACAGTGTTGTATCTTCAGATTTATGTTAAACGTGCATGCCTTAATGTGTCTGCATGTTTTGTCTCTGTTTGGTTAATCTCTAACTAAAATGCACCAAAACAAAGTTAAACCTAGTAATAATTGATGGGCTGCTTCCTTACTAGACTAGGGGAGGATTCTGGTAAATAAGCACACAAAACATTTTGTCTTCCTTTGAGCTCATCTTAAATGTATTCATATTTATAAAAGAAAAGACATATCCAGACAATGGAGCCTTACTGACATTTGCCCCATTTTCCATCAAAAGCTTGGCGCACGCTGTGTGGCCTTGCAAACATGCTCCATGGAGGGGGGAGACCTGGTCCAGAGTGTTCAGATTCACACACACACCCTGTGAACACACACAGCAAATGTAACATTGTAGATGCATATTAGTACGTTTAGTGTTACTACAAGATCTCAATATAAGCAATGTGATGAGTTTCAGACTTGTTCTCAATAAATACATAGATACATTTCATTTTATAATGCAGTTTAATGTAACATGCAAAGTCCAGTTAAACTTTACCTGTGCAATGAGTCTCTGCAGAGCGAGGACACGTCCATTAAAGGCAGCATCGTGAATTGGAGACCAATCTGATTCAGTATCTAGGTATAGGCATTAGAAAAAATGGTCACACACAACCCAGTGTTTCCCCTACCATTATCTTGGAGGGGCGCTGCGCCCCGCCAACGGAGCCCCGCGCCCCCCCCCCCTGAAATTCAAGGTGTTAATAAAAAGAAAAAAATTATAATCTTTTTTTTTTGTAATACTTTTTTTTTTGTATATATATATAGCACCAAATTGCAACTAATCTATATCTACTGTCACTTTTCACATTGAACATGTGAACGCTTTCATTTTAAGTTGTGAGTTTAGTGTTTTTGACCCTAAGAAACACTGATGCATTAATCAATAACAATAATCCACAGCTCCTCGCTCTGCTCCAGAGGATTTAAAAAAAGATATATCCCCCTCCGCTCAGACAGCACCCCTCCAAAGCAGTAAACCTAAGGGATACACTGCAACCTTTTACATAACATAAATGTGCATTACAATGAAAAGCAGAAACATTCTGTCCAGAGCAGTAAACAAACTGCAGTGTCAGCATATGCTGCCCGCAGATGCTCACCACTCATCAAAGGGTTGGAGAAAAAAACAGGAGTTCTGTTTTGACATGCAGTGTCTGGCGGAGTCTCTCTGTGTCCAGCAGACATACTTCTCACTGCCGTTCTAAAAGCTGTTTTAAGGCCGGATCGTTTTGCTTCATAGGTTTTTGCAACAGAGGCTGAACTGTATGCTGCTCGAAGTCAAAATACATCTGAGAGGCGTTTGCTACTCATCTGTTTTCACTGTTTTGGTGGCAGGTCTGGTTGCTGTGATGTCATTTCCTCTTTGACAAAGTATTTGCCTGCAGGAAACAGGCTGGTACAATGAAGCTACTGGTTCTCAACCAATGAAGGTGCAGAGGGAGTGGGAGAGGGGCCTGTTGAGCAGGTCTGTAATTTCAGTGTAATTTGACACTGTACAGTCACACCCATCCTCTCCAGTAGGAGATGGGCGGCGTTCAGTTGTTTGAGTAAAACTAAGGATAAACTGGACGGAAGTGAATCAATGTATATACATAATGATCTGTTGACATTATGTATTGTTGGTAGTCACCCTGTAGTAAGCTGTAATGTGTTTTTACTTTTAAAGATGTATCATATGCCTGTATTTCTTCATATTGTGCCTGTTATAACAGAATAACACAGTACCTGTTGCACTGATAGAAATCCTTTAATCCGTTGCTTTACTTTAAATTGTTGGATAAAAGCATTACTAAACTAATCTAAAGTGCCTCTGGAATTATTGTGCTACTATTGCAGAGGTGCACATCTTTAAACATGTTTTAAGATGTGTCACTGTGAATGATGTTTGTGCAGAGTTTGATTCCAGACGGCCGTGTATTTTGACTCATACCCTAAAATCTGAATTGATTTTGATGATTTTTTTTTTATTCAGTACTAATACTTTTAAAATTCTTCTTCGCTTGTTTTCTTCTCTGTCATTTAATTCTAAATCAACATAGTTGTTCAATTCTTTTTTTGTCATTTTTGTAATGGTAATGACATGTTGCGGAGATAACAGCAGAATTGTCTTTTTAAATATCCCAAAAAACCCATTTTGCCTAATTACTTTTGGTCACAAGTGATCTTAACAAAGATAATCTCATGGCTTGCTTTGTAGAAACCAGGAAATCCACTTCAGACTTAACAGACTGCGGATGGGTGGCATGATAATTAGACAGACTCTCTTTAAAGTAAAGGAAGGGATCAGTACCACCGGCAATAAACTTACACAACCTCTGACTTCCCTAAAAAAGCTCAATCAGGTTCCCACACAAAGTCTGTGTCTTGAAATTGCTGTGTTATGGCGTAGTATACACCAGATTTATACACCCTTGTAAGTATTGATTTAGGCTGCTTCTAGTGCTTCATGTAGGCTATAAATATAGTACAATAATGTGTAATAGTAGCTATATCTTTCCACAAACAGATATTCCCAAAAGCAGCAATATCTGTTGTTTCTTGAGCTCCATTGTTTGCACACCAGCAGAGGGCAGCAACAGATGTTTAAACAGCAAATCGATGCTAACCATATTCTTCAGGGAGTTGTTAATCCCTGGCAGCAGGCTACAAACTTGCCATACAATTGACTTTGTGCCTGGTCGGAGAAGGTGCATATAGATTAGAAAGCCATTGGACAAACTCAATGAATGCCCTCTCTGTAGTACTGAATAATGGACGCCCTTGATGCTTTGTTTCCCAAATAAATCTGCTTGAAATGTCCACCCGTTTCCTCAGATCTCTGTCCAAGCAGGCAGATCCAGCCGCTGCCATGACCTCTCCAGTATTTGGACGTGGTCAATGTCTCATGCATACATACTGGGAGGGAAATAATATCAAGGCAAGGTCTTGGTGCAAGTGTCAGCTCACATAAGCACCAAATGTCATCCTTGTTATGAGACTGAGGACAGGAGAGGTTTTTTTTCTTAGGCTGACCATTTCTGTTTATGATCAAAACAAATGTGCTTTTAACTCTTTGTTCCTGAGCTCTGACCTTTCCACTACAGCCACAACAAAGAGAAAAGAGGACATTGCTTACTCTACTACGGACAACCATTGTTTTTTTTCTTTATCAAAATCAGATTTTGTGTTCATGTTCAAACCAATAATTGTATTAGGCTAGACCAACATAAATGTAATTCCTTTCGGATTAAAACTCAAATTCAGTCTGGCTATGTGAGACCAGTCCTAAAGTCGCTCTGACATTCAGGAAAATGTCTGTTATCACAAAAGCGTGCCCCATAAATGGCAGGTTGGTAAAGTGGTTGCTGCAAAGTCAAGTAGTATTCACTGGTCACCAATTTCACAAATGTAACATGGTTAGGTCTGTTATATATCAGTACGCCACAAGGGTTATCAGTGGGTCAGACTGTTGATGAGTTACAGAGTTTGGCTCACATCACCTCCAGCAGGCTCCACATACATCCCTGTTACAGCATCCCAGAATATACCACACTAATGGGATGGATGGGCCGCCTTAAACTAGCCACATGCTAAATATGGTATGCTTTTTATTGATAACTTGACCTAATTGTTCATTGTTAAACATGATTTGTTGTACTCATAAAATGTGTTTATGTGCTTGTGTTTCATATGGTGTTAATAGGCGTTAGCTCAACAATTACGTTTTTGATTATGAAGCCTATGAATTTAGTAAATGGTGGTGTTGTTATAATTAAAAAGTACACAATCTATGTTTACAGTAGATATATAATGTCGTTGCATTCACTTACATTATGCATTGTACTTTCTTTGTAATAAATCAGCAGTGTTTTATGAGCCTATACACAATTTAGCCTCAGTGTTGCAATAAAGTATATGAAATCAAAAATGTCGTCATATATTTTTATGTTGCTGTATTTTCTTCAGGGATATACTGCAGCAAAATACTGTTCATGATTTCACTAAAATATTAGATATTCAGTAGCTTGCTGAACTCACCTAATTTGAGATCACACACAGGCCTTTGTCGGTTTCTTGCATTGTGGCACAGTTAAGCTACAACTGCAGGGATTAAATAGAAGCACATGATGATTCAACCCCGTGATTTCTCACTGAGTCGGCTGATGCACCCAATCATTTCCTCTACTTTCCTTGTCTTTTCTGCTTTCTCCTGACAGCGGGGCCCACTTCTCTGTTCCTCTCTCCCCGGAGCGCCATGGCCTCCCCTCGGCTGGAGACGTTCTGCTGTACGAACCGGGACGCGGTCACAGACTTCGTGGTCTCCTTCCAGCCCGATTTGTTCGCTGCTCTGGGTCTGGCCAGCGCGACCCTCAGTCTCTTGTTTGCCGTTTTACAAATTCTGCCCAAACGCAAAGGATACAGAAGACTCGGGCAGTATCCGCTGCCGAGACCCGCATCCTCCTCCCGGATAGTGTTCATCATCAGTATATGTGACATACTGGGATGCATAGGTAAAGAACAGTCCTGCTTTCACTCAGAAAACTGTTTCACAACGTGGGTTTCTGGATTTAATTACACTCGCAAATATGTTGTTTTTAACCTTTTTGTTGCACTGCATCAGTTTATCTGACATGTGAAACAGAGAATAACATAAAACATAACTTTTAAAAATTGCCCACTCTTGGTCAACTTAAAACTTGATAACAAACTTTGAATACGCAAATCTAAACTCAAAGTGAGTACATGATAGCTTTATTTGAGATGTTTGGTTCTAAAGCAACTTATTACGAAACAAAAGAATGAATCATTATCCTCTCATGTGAGTCATGAATGACTCCTAACCACTGCAAACCATTTTTTCCTGTTGATCTGAATGCAGCATTGTTCTTATAGCAACCAATATCTACATGTTATTAACACTGAAAAACAGTGGTGTAAAGTAACTAAGTAGATTTACTCAATTACAGTACTTAAGTACACTTTTGATATACTTTACTTGAGTATTTCATTTTTTTGCTACTTTGTACTTCAACTCCAGTACAATTCAGAGGTAAATCATGTACTTCTACTCTACACTTATTTAATACCTTTAGTTACTCTGCAGTTATGGATTAATGATGTGAATATAATCAACACTTGCTGCAGCTTTACCTGCTTTGATAACACTTTAATGCATCAATCATTTATAATAAAAACATATAACATATATAATTCTAAAATGGGCCAATCTGCATAATGAGTATACTTTTACTTTTGGTACTTTTGGTACTTTTGGTACTTTTGGTACTTTTGGTACTTTTGGTACTTTTTCACTTTTACTTGAGTAACGTTTTAATTGCAGGACTTTTACTTGTAACAGAGTATTCCTACACTCTGGTGGTACTTCTTATTTTACTTAAGTACACGATCTGAGTACTTTTCCCACCTCTGCTGAAAAAGGCTTTAGAGTATTTTCAATCACCACCCTGCCTGTGCTCCTGGTGAGAGAGGAGGCAGATGAAGTCATGTATTACTGTGTGCTTAGTGCCCGGCGAGATCCATCCACAACTGCGGAATAACAGCTTGAAGCACACCCATGACACCGTTTAAAGAGAAATATACAACAGCATGTAGTCTGCATCACATTAACATTCTGGGAGAGCTCCCTGTTTTTCCATCCACAGTGAAGAGTCCTGTGTAGGAAATGGAAACACCCTTATAAAACACACCTGGAGGTAGTTCATATTTCCATGACATAAATCTGCTGTTAAAAGGACTCCCATGACTGAATGTACTTAATTAACACACTTAATAATACAGAATGAAATGATGCTTTAAATGTTAATCAAATCCAGATCCCTGTTTTGTTTTGTATTATTTCCTCTTCCAGCAGCCTTGTCTGATTCTCTCAACAGGTTACAAATATGAGATCATGTGTTGTTTTCCTCCTCCAGGTATCATTGTGCGGTCATCTGTCTGGCTGGGCCTGCCGAACATCATTGAGCGTATCTCAGTGGCCAACAGCACCGAGGTCTGGCCAGAGGTCTTCTGTGTCGGCAGCGCAGTATGTATGATGCATTTTTACAAATCTTCCCCTTTTTAAACAGTCAAACAGTACAGTTAAGTTAAGTACATTTACCATACAGGTTGTTTAAGTTCAGCTTCATGCCTGACAGATGACAGAAAGGCGCTATAGCGGACACAAACTCATAATTCTGTTTATTCGAAATCATGCGTGATCCTGGGAAATCCGGATTTCACTCATGCTCAGCAAGCATGTAGGCAAGGCTGACTGTAAAATATCTGTTAGCCCACGGCTTTTCAACTGTAAAGTCACACATAACATATTTACCTCAGTTACTCATGCTTCTTATTATGACGAATGATCAACATTATGACCTGTAAAGTAAGGGTCTTCTGTCTCATTTATGCGTTACAGATGTGGATCCAGTTGTTTTTTAGCGCTTCTTTCTGGTGGACCTTTTGTTATGCTGTCGATGTCTTCCTGGTGGTGAAAACTTCTGCAGGAATCAGGTATCTGAGCATCACCTTCCATATTTCATTATCACCTTCACATCTTCTCCTTTAATCACAAGATGAAGCGCAAAGCCTTAAACTGAGCTGAGAATGTGTGAAACATCCTTCTCTCACTTATTCCTCCTTTGTTCTATTCATGTGTTGCTTCTTCTCGCATGACTTACCCTAAACCTAGTTTGCAATTTGTTGTAGAGAGAGCATTTCCTAAAGGTGTACAGATGGATCAGTCATACTGTTTTAACGTTCTTCCTGTGTTTCAATGGGCTAACAATACATTTCAAACCTCAGTCCGTGTTGTACATTTATTTTCTCCATTGAAAAGAAAATGTATCCTCAAGATAAAAGAGCAGCATGTGGACAGTCTCATGACTTGTTTCTCTTCCCATCAGCACCATTATCCTCTACCACATGATTACATGGGGTCTGGCCGTGCTGCTGTGTGTGGAAGGAGTGGCCATGCTCTACTATCCATCCATCTCTGAGTAAGTCCCTTTGTTGTTCCTTAGATGCACGGTCTAGCACCTTCCAGCATTTTGTCACTGTCTTTTGTCTTTCAAGAGCCTGAGGCTATCAGTAAAACTGTGGATGAATAAGTCAGTGTGTATGTCCATAGAAAAAAGATTTTGAAACTGGGTTAAGAACTTATCTCCCAGTGATGTAGTTGTGATTACCAATGCTAACTTTAATGTTCTCTTGCATTGTGTGCAGTTGTGAGCAAGGCCTCCAGCATGCTATCCCTCACTATGTCACCACATACGCACCAATGCTGCTGGTCCTCGTGGCCAATCCTATCTTCTTTAATCGGACCATATCTGCCGGTAATTCCTATACTTTTATGTTATATACTTTCTTACACATGTACATGGGTTTTCAATATCTACTTATTTTGTTCTTCCAATCTAGTGACATCTTTGCTAAAAGGACGACAAGGAATCTACACAGAAAATGAGAGACGGCTGGCCAATGAGATAAAGATACGCTTCTTTAAAATTATGCTGGTGTTCTTCATCTGGTATGTTAACATTGTTTATCAAAGGGATACACTCAAAGAAATAGTCTGACATTTTCAGCAGCACGTTTCTTGCTGAGGTTTAAGGGAGAAGATTGTAACTTATATATTGAATATACAGACAGGAGAGTGGTATTAGGCAGCAGCCAGTTAGCTTAGCACAACGAGCTAGCCTGGCACTCCAAAGCAATACAATCTACCACACAGCACCTCTAAAGCTAAATAAATACCATGGTATACCTCGTTTAATTTGACAATGTGTAAAAACAATGTGATCTTAGTTTGCTGGTTTCCTGGCAACCTTATAATGACAACAAGACTCAAGGAAGTAATTTTGTTTTTACACTTTTTTTCTTATAAGAATATTTTATTATGTTTATTCAAAGGACCATATAATTATGTTTTATATTCTCAACTCTAAACCATGCATTTCTATATTTTATTGCATGTAATGAATGTATGACGTAACAGTGAATCAATATTCCTTAGCTAATCACAATTCACAACACAACCTCTGATGCACCCTGCATTAACTCGTGCATTACCTCACCATGAGTCATGCATTAGTCAAGCATTACTTAGGTTATAACATGTATCACAGATAAGATAATATATAATTGAGCCATCTTGCTGTAGTGTAACACTTGCAATAATGTGACCAATTCATGCAAATCCATGCATTATTGTCGTTATAGGAGGTCATGATAACCATGGTCCACAGCAAAATAAGAGCTGGATATCAGCTGTATATTTACTTAAAGTGGACCTATCATGCTATATTTGAATAATATAGTGTAGGACCATACCTATATAAGGCATATTTATACTTTATTTTTTTCAAAATACCAAACAGATCATGCATTTTAGCCATGCCTCATTTTGCTCAATTTGCACTTTTTTTAGCTCTGTTTTTGCAAGGGCTGATTCTGTGAGAACAGCACCACCTACAGGCCTGGCATATGTACTACAGCGTCTCCAGCGCTTTCGAACGGCAATGGCTGTGGCTGTCTCCTCCTGATTGGTGGAGTTGGCCCAATAGCCGTAGCGCCACTGTCCTGACGTCAGGACAGTGTTCAAATCTGGATCAGTTTTTATCAGATCCGTTGCAGCCCCTTTTTTAGAGATTTGGGTATGGAGGAAAATAGAGAGGGTTGTGTTTTCTGACACTTGGTGAGTTCCCTGGAACACCGGGGACACATATTCATGTATAAAAGACGTACAAGAGTACATTTTGCATGATAGGTCCCCTTTAATGAAAATAATAATGTCATTTAAAGCTGTTGGTTTGAAGAGAGGTTCATTTACAGATTTGTTAAATGCTAATGAGACATATTGATGTTTCAGCTGGGTTCCCAACATCATCAACGAGAGCCTCCTCTTCTACCTGGAGATGCAGACAGACATCAATGACAACGGCTTCAGGAATATCAGAAACGCAGCCCTCATCACATGGTTTATAATGGTAGGTCAAAAAACATGAACACAAAGAATGAAGCATAGTTTTATCAATATCTAAAACCAGAGGTGGGAACTAGTTGAGTACACATACTTCGTTACTGTACTTAAGTACATTTTTCTGGTATCAGTGCTTTACTCCACAACTTTTTACTTTTACTTCTTACATTTTTAACACAAATACCTGTACTTTGTACTTCTTACATTTTCAAAACAGGCTGGTTACTTTAGTTTGAATCTGTTTGCTGTTGTGATCATTATTATTTAGAGTCATTGCGTGCCTATTGATTTTAACACGATCCGTGTATCCATCATTTCCTGGTCTTCTCTAAAGAAGAGGGACCAATGAGAACTGTCATGTTGCCGTTGTTCAGCATCAAAACATTCATTAGCTAACAATGACATTATTGTTCTATTAATATAAAGTGAGGTCAGTTACTCTTTCAAACAGCTGGTAGTTACTTTTTACTTAAGTACATTTCGAAGCCCATACTTCTTTACTTTTACATGAGTAAAGAAGTTTAGCCAGTACTTCTACTTTTACCAGAGTATTTTTAAACACGAGTATCTGTACTTCTACTTGAGTAAAGGATGTGTGTACTTTTGCCATCTCTGTCTAAAACCTTCAACTTTTTGCCTTTGACCTTTTCAGGGTATCCTAAACCCTATGCAAGCGTTCCTCAACACCCTGGCCTTTCACGGCTGGACGGGCTTCGATGTTGACTTCAGACTGCAGCAGAGGAGGAAGCTGGCCTGGGACTCCGCTTCTACTTCAGTGCCGAACACAGCGGCGCACAATCCCACGGTGGGCACCACTCTGCTCTACCAGAGCCATGTCCAGGAAGCCAAGAAGAACATGATGAGCAACGGACAGCACTCTGACGCCATCAGCGTGCTCTCAGAAGGTAATTGGGCTAGTGCCAGTAACAGCTCACCTGTGTATCAGGGCTGGTGACGCTCTAAAGCTTCCTGTGGGCTGCATGCAGAGATGGCAACAGTACACACATCCTTTACTCAAGTAGAAGTACAGATACTCGTGTTTAAAAATACTCTGGTAAAAAGAGAAGTACTGACATGAACTTCTTTTCTCAAGTAAAAGTAAAGAAATATGGGCTTCGAAATGTAAAAAGTACCCATAACTACAAGCTGTTTTAAAGAGTACCTGACCTCACTTTATATTAATAGAACAATAATGTCATTGTTAGCTAATGAATGTTTCCATGCTGAACGGCAAAATGACCAAGTTTTCATTGGTCCCTCTTCTTTAGAGAAGACCAGGAAATTATGGATACACGGATCGTGTTCAAATTAACAGGGACGCAATGACTCTAAATAATAATGATCACGCCACCAAACACAGATTAAAACTAAAGTAACGAGCCTGTTTGGAAAATGTAAGAAGCAGAAAGTACAGGTATTTGTGATCAAAATGTAAGAAGTAAAAGTAAAAAGTTGTCACTACTTCCCACCTCTGGCTGCATGATGTCTGCTGAACTGGTTTCTTATATGAAGCATGTGATTTCTTTTAGGGAATCATTATACTGTGATATTATCTACTGAGAGATGTGTTTATAATGAAGAAAGCTTTTGAATTGTTTTACAATGGTGATTGGTGACATGGTGACATTGACCAGCTTGAACTTGAAGCTCTCTGTGATTAGTTTTTAATAGTCAAGAAAACTCCTTCTGGATGCAGTAATGAGGCATTCAGGGTCATGAACCCCCTGCAGGATTTTCTGTTCTATCCACGCCGACTGAATACAGTAGCATGAAATTGTTACGGGTTTTTTGTTCATAATGATCGGGTATTTTCATAATTCAGCATGTGTTTCACCGTGTCAGGGCGTACTTTTTCACATAATGTGTGCACATCCTGACCTTCTGTTAAGGGTGCTGCAACTGTGGCTCCTTCACATAGAGCTGTATGTGTCATTATTGAAATGCATCTAATGACATGCAGAGAACAATGGCACAGCTGTAGATTATTAGGATAAACATGTGAAATACACTCAGTTGCATGTGTACATGGTAGCCATAACTAGAACTAGTCCAGTTTAATACAACAGTCTTATAATTAATCTTTAGGAATGGGAAGAAATGCCCGTTAAGTGAAACTATGTAAAACTTGATAGTGTAGTTTTTTGTACTGTTCAATTATATTTGTATTGTACTAAGAGACATGTTTACCCTCATTAATATGTATGAAGGGAGCCGCTAATAGTATAAACTTGCAACTAAGATTAAAACCAAGACAGTTGTATTAAATCACTTTAGTTTTAGCTAGGTTTACCAAATAATCGTACTACTGAGTGTATACTGAACATCGATTTGGTGTTTTTTACTGGGACACATTTACTTTTGTTACTTTGAAATTTCTTCTGTGCTGTTTCTATATTACTAAATGTATTTTGGGATGATTTGGTAAAGCATTTTATACAGTATTGTTTGTGCACAATGTAGTACATGTACGAAGTCTATTCAATGTTTTGTGTCAACATTCAGTGTCTCTGAAATTACAAGTCATTAGAAATAAAGTAAAGATTTTTTAAAGGATTTATGTTTTTCATTCATTCATATAGATTTGACTCAGTTTTCCACTCAAATTCAGGTATAGACATGAACATCATTACAGACTGCATTTACAGGATATGTTAACATTCCCAAAATACATTTATTAATAAAAGCACATTTGTGCTGAGGGATGTATAAATCAAAGATCAGCATCTCAATAGATAAGTAAATTGATGAGCTGTGAAGGTGTCTGTGCAGTAACACCCAGTATTCTGCCTTATTTTGTCTCGATAGGTTCAGAGTCTAGTACAGTTGAATTCCACATTTCCAGCGAGCTACGAGAGTATGACGATGTAGACGCTGACGGAGAATCCTTGGAGAACTCTGTGAGGCACTAGCTGAACAACCCGCCTCCCTCCACTACTCCTGTGGGACATGTTTATTTAAGTTACTGTTGTTTTAGGATTTATTCTCTTAGCCTATTTTCTCCCATTGAGATTTCCTCCAGATATTAACTGGTCATGAGATTTCATTAGTTGGTAAAACAGAAAAAGTCTAATTCTTGATTCTAAGCCTTTCATTCCTTCCTAAGCTTTTTTCAATCTGTTTGTACAGTGTAGTACTGTAGCTGAACAGTACAAATACAATATGTCACTGTCTCTTTAGCAGCCAGTCAATGGAACAAACACGACATTTAAATATTACAAGCCAACAGGCTGACCTTTCAAAGTGCCTTCAGAAAATAATTATCCTGGGTGATTTACTACATTAATGTTTGTCAATTATTGTCATTAACCTCTCAAAGCATGACAGAATGTAATAAGCTAACTAGTGTGTTTTTTAAACAATTACTGTATTTACAGTTGTCTATCTTGTATTTTTGCACACATCGATTTTGTACTATATTACATTTCCAAAATATTTGAAAAAATGTTGTTGATGACACTTTTTGTATGTCTTGAGTAGTTGCAGACCAACACAAATACTTCTGTGCGAATTAAAAACGCAATTAAACACACAGGCTCCATGGTTTCTGATATCAAAATAGAGTGATTTATTTGAGACACTGAATGAATTCAACGTTTTGTCTTTGAAACGGGTGACTGCACCCCGGACCAGGGTGAGAGAGATAGAAGCCGTCACAGCACTTATTCCAAACCGGGCTCCTCAGCATGCCAACAACGGCCACCATCCCACAGCTCGATTCTCAGTCTGACACAGACAATAATGGCTCTCAGCAAATGAAAAAGTACAGAAAACAATGAACCACCCATTAACATCCAATTTTGACATTAAAAAAAGAGAAAAATAAAACATTGGCCCTTCAACTTTCAGCTAAATCTGAACATTTGCAGTATTCACCATTACAAAAAGTGCACTTGACATTGCTCTAGCAGACATTGACTGAAAGGGAAAGGGTCCAGGAAAAGGCAAATCAAAGTGGTGGCAGGTTGGTTTGAAGTTACTATATTTTCCATGAGATCCCTGTAAGCAACACTTACTGCACATTGGTGAAGCTCGGCCCACAACACCAGCATTTCAAATCTGACCAGCCAGCGGTATTTGGCGGGACTTAACATAAGCTTTTTTTGTTTCTTAACGTTAGCAGGACTTTTGCTTGACTTCCACCTTCTGGTCAAAATGTGCTCTGATTTTCAGTAGATTGTTCAGAGGGAAGTGCCAAAGAGAAACCATGGCAATGCTAAATGTAGCTGTACTTGTTTCCTCCTTAGGTCTGCATTATACGATTAGCATTTTTCTTATGATGTCCTGTTCCACGTATAACACAAAGTCAGGAGACTGATTACTCTTCTCTCATATTGCTGAGCAGATAATTGCCTGAATGCTGGTAATGATGGCTTTCAGGGATCAATAGTGGAAAGCAAAGCTGCTTAACACATCTGTGTCAACGCTGTTTGTGACTCACCGAAAAACAAAAAAACATGATGCATTGGATATGATTGAAAAAGACTGTATTAAAAGAAGCTGATGACACATGCACTTCATTTAAAAAGAGGTCTTGCCAAGCATTATCAGCAAGGTGTGACAGCTAATGAGCCCCTACAGGATGGCAATAAAGTGTACTGTATATAAACATATATACACAGTATATAAGTGTGTATTAATCTAATTTACATATCTTTACATTCTTTAATTTACATCCAAAAAGGGAGAAAATTCTCTTTGTAAACCACACTTGTCCAGAAAATGACTTTTTCTAATCTCATGTCACTTTAGGAGGTTAGGACTTTTTCTCGGCAGGTTTTCCTTTTGTTGACCCGCACATTCAACTTTGACTTTCAAAAGTCCATCTGTGGGGGAAAAAGCAAGAAGTACTCTTGAAACAAACTATTCTCCACTGAGAAGAAGTAAAGCACACTGTCCACAACACCAGTGCCTCAGTTTGATGTCACTTTGATCATGTCCACAGTTTGTTTGTTTGGACACGAGGTAACATTTGCTCAGAGGAAATCTCAAACCACAACCTTTCTTTCCTAATTTGTTGCCAAACACATGTCGCATTAACACTTTTTCTCTTTATATAAAACTCATCTTTGCGTTTCCACCCTACACCCCGATAACAGCTGGACACGAGGCCCGGAGGGACGGCAGCACGTTCTCATTAGAAACCTGTTAAAACACGGATGCACCCAGGGAGTTGGAATCCATCCTGTCTTCGGGATCTCTTAACCTTCCTCCATTATGTTTCCAATGGGCATATCATAAAAACACACATCAACAAACTTTAAGGTGCGCTGAAGTCAGTTGGTGTCGTTTCCTCAGAGGCTTCTGCAGTCATATGGTTTTACTCCTACGAGGGGCTTCTCTCCACCTCACAGCTCTAACTGAGCACAGAGGGTTTGTTGCTGACGTCAGGAGAAGGCAATTCGCTGCACATTCCAGGATTCATCAACAGAGTCTCAAGACGGCTATTTTCGGAGATCAAGAACACATACCTAGAGGGCAAAGATTAGGTAGCATTAATAACACGTTTGACCATTCCTTTTTTATAACTTTTAGTACTATTAATGTGTGTTTTCAGACAATTTAATTTGCAGGCACCAAACCAAGTTAAACAATACCAAAGTACATTAAGTAAAGAAAAGAAAAACATTTTGAGGATGTGAAAAAAAAGAAAAAAGTCAGATTTCTGAGATTAAAGTCAGAATTCTTTTTTTTTAAATTTTTTCATGTGGCCCTTATCCTCTTCCGTATACATTTAAGAAAAAACAGCTAATAGTAGGGCTGCTCGATTATGGCAAAAATCATAATCTCGATTATTTGGGTCAATAATTGATATCACGATTATTACAAACGATTATCCATTTACTTTGAAAACATCAATTTATTGGAGAAAAAAAATGTGAACAGTATGTTTTTAACAGTTGATTACCCTGAACTTTAAGTATAATTCAACTGAAAAACCAAAAAAAAAAAAAAAGTTATTTGAAAAAAAATAATAATAATAATAATAATAAAGAAATAATCGTTTTATTTCGATTACGTTGTTTTCGTAATCGTTGCGAGCCATAATCGTAATCGCGATTAAAACACGATTAATTGAGCAGCCTTAGCTAATAGTAGTGAATCACATAATCATCGTCCCAGTGGGCGGGGCTTACCGAGCCGTCTGACGCGCTGCCACCAACTTTGTCCCCGGTGCTGTTCCAACACACCTCGAAAATACCTCCAGTCCCCCTGTAGCTGTGCACCAAGGCGCCAGACTGAAACAAGAGGGCAAACGTATTAATGACCGTTCCTTAAAGATGAATCCTCACAATAAATCCCCCCCCCCTCTGCTGTTTGAGACCCTTACCATGGTGTTCCAGATGTGGACACACTTATCGAAGGAGCCGCTGGCCAGGTGCTGGCCGTCGGGGCTGAAGGCCACGCTGTACACGGGCTCCTGGTGCTTGGTGAGCGTGTGAATACAAACCCCCCGCTCCACATCCCATAGTCGCACTGTCGAGTCGAAAGAGGCACTGTGGGCGTGGAAAATGACTGATTTAGAAAACAATATTTGCCAGTCATAAAAATGAAGTTCAAAGGAATTTGTTTCTTTAGTGACTGCACAAGGACTTTAAAATAGCATTCAATATTTTAATAGATTTTTGATGCGGTGAATGAAACCAAAAAGCTCATAAATAAATACAAAAGGGGCAGTTATTTAGTTAGTAAGACGCTACAAATTGTCATCATTTGTGTTTTCGTTAGCATCAGTTTTGTGCTCAGTGATTTCAAAAAGGCCAACAAGTGAAACGGCAACAGAAAACATCTTGGAAACAATTAATAAATGCTCCTTTAAGGGAAAAACTACACACAAAAGATTGTGTGAATAAGACTGAGACACTGTTAAACAAAATGATGATAATATAAGGAGGATTTCAATTAACACATCTTCTTCACCCAGGTATAAATAGACAGGGCTAATCTCCTATGGGAGCCTTTGGCAACACATGAAAGGGGAATCAGAAAGATATTATGGTGGGAGCAAAAGTGAAGTCAATTAAAAATGTATTGCACACGTACTGTTCAACGTTGCCATTTACTTAAGATTATCAGGCTCCTTCCGAGCGGGGGCAACAATGGCAGTTTTATGACAGAGCGGATTACAGGCAGGTATGCGGGGTTGTCAGTAAGGGCTGTAAATTCCTGTGGTATTTGAACTGGAACATTTACACATGCATGCACATCTGGGTCATGGTGTTGAGCTGTCGGCCACTGACAGTCAATAGCACTGGGAACACGGTTTCTTCTGAATGTCAGGCTATGACAAGTGTCCCCTTCCCACACACATGTACACACAGCTTGTTCTGGGCACTAGCGATTCGCATCGGTGCACCGGCATAAACGTTCAAGATGCGAGTGCACCGGTTGAAAGAGTGCACATCGGCTACAGTTTGGGTTGAACTCGCGATGCATCGATTGTAGCGTCTTTGCATCGGTAAAAAAAACGATTCATTCATATAATATCCTCTCATCCTGTCATCACTCAGCAGAGACGATCTTTGATCTTTGCTTCGCCACTACGGAGGCCGAGAGTCTCAGTTATCAACACACATGGAAGTCGAGGAGAAAGAGAAACACAGCGCACCGAAAAATACCTACAAATCAAACGTTTGGCAACACTTCGGATTTTTCAAGAAAGACGGTCAACTTGAAAATCGCTCGCAAATTGTAAACCATGCCGTGCCGCTTTAAAGTACACAAGTAGTACGAGGAACTTAGCGACGCACATAAAGAGGCGACATGGGGTCTGCGGCTGAAAAGAGAAACCTGAAAGTTAGACATATGAGTTCAATCACTCAGTGAGGTGTTATGTCAGAGAGAGTGGTGTTTAGTTTACAACAGCCTGTGACTGCCAATAATAGTTTAAATGTCTTCCTTACAATTGTAAGCAGCTAGAGAGAACCAAATATGTAAAGCACTTTTTAGTTAATTTATGATTTGCTGCATATAATGAATAAAACTAAAATCCAAGTATCATTATTTTGCATCGTGTTGAATCGCATCGCATCGCATAATGTTGAATCAAATCGTATCTAACTGTATCGCAACAGGGGTGAATCATATCGTATCGCATCGCCTGGTGTTTCAAATGTATCGTTAATGTATCGTATCGTTGGCAACGTATCGAGATGCGCATCGCATCGGCCTCAGTGATGGAGATGCACATCCCTACTGGGCACACAAACTTGGACTTTTCTTGAATTATTAGGAACACGATTGCTCTTTACGGTGCTGAACGTGAGCTATGTGTGCCCCACCTGGCGAGCATGATGTTGGAGTTGGGGTTGCTGGTGCCGGGGCCCGTGGGGCTCCACTTGATGGTGTAGATCTCCTTACTGTGAGCCTGGAGGTCGTGGACAC